GGTCGATCTCCCGGTGTGATGCGCGTATCACGACTTGGGGATTTCGAATCAGAAAGTATCGCCACAACCAGCAGCAGATCGTTGTCGTCCGATGATGAAGATGATGACGATGATTCCAGTGCCACAGTGGCCGCTGCTGGTGACGGCTCAGTAGGGACACTATCTGAAACGAAAGCATTGGTACGGTCACGATCGAATGTTGAGCAGTTTGATCCGGAGACAGATGAATGCCCCATTTTCGGTACAATCTCCGAGGAGGACAGAGCGTTGTTTACTGAGATCCAAGCAGATGTGCAAGCAGTAAGTTATTATTCAGGAGCGGAACTTAACACTTTTTGTTTAAGCCAAGTCTCCTTTAGTGGATCTCATCTCATTCCACTTGATTGTTGTTATGCTCCCGTTAAATTTTGACTGGGCTTAGATTTTTTCTTATTAGAATCCTTAACGAGACGGTCAACTACCTAAATCCTAATCATTTAGGTTGACTGGAAATTGGGATTTGTAAGATCTTGTGTCTCACCCAATCTATTCGATTGTTCTTGGGATCAGGAAATTCTCGGACCAGTGCTTGTGCCTCTTTGTGAGAGGTTTAGCATAAGAATTTTCCAAATCCTATAGATGTCCCATAGCTGTCCGTGGCTTCTCAACTGGACTATACCCGTGGATATAAACGTTTCATCGTCCCTCTTAACTGAAAACACTCCACGCGGGGACAATGTACTTCTTCGGTCAGCATGTTGAAAATATGAAACCTACAGCGAAAGCAACTCGTTCCAACCTTGAACTTAGTTTTTTCTCTCTATCCAGTGTGATTCCCAAATTCGTTTCAGCATTCTAATGTTGTTATGAGTCAACCAAACTGTTGATGGATACCACTCCGTTGTTGTTTGTCGGTATCCAACCTCCGATGCCTTCGGAGCAGTGCTCGTGTCTGGTGGAAATAACATGTGAGCAACGACGAAATTCGTCATCATGTGTTGGATACTGTTATTCGTGCTCTAGAAGTAACCGCTGAACACCGCTTCCAATGGCTTAGTCACACCTTGTGTATGCTTACCGATCGTCTGCCTATCTATGCTCTTTTTGCACGTTCTGGGCCGCTTCAGTTAGGCCATCACCTGGCGTAGCAGTATGAACACGTTAGCTTTAGCATTGGCTTCAGTTGGTGCAGCTCGCCTCCCAGGCTGGGTTTCAAGGGGTGAGGATGGCTAGAAGGAGAGATGCGGCTCATAAAAGAAGTCATTGATGCGATTATTGTGCGGTTTGTTTGTTGAAACCCCGTTCCCCATAATAGATAAAAAGATCAAAATTTGTAAGGTGAAACAAAATATTGTTCATTTGTTCTTTCTGTTCCTCATTATCTGTTTTTCTCAATTTTCATTTCACTTATCTGTATCTGAACCCACCGTTTGTATTGTCATTGTTGTCGCGTTCGCACTTCACTTGTCCTCAAGCCGATGTAAAATATGAAATACATGCGCGAATGAATCCTACATCGCGACAACTCGTTTATCTTTCTCGTTTTATAAGTTAACTACTCATTAGTAGGCTGAATAATTAGAATAAATAAAATAGTTATTCTACAATTCATTTTCTCACGCTCCTTTCGGTGACCGAATTCTCTGTATCACTTGAGAACGTTTTCTCAACTTGAGTATTAATATGAGCAATATATCATACTCCTTTCTGTTCTAATCATTTCACATCACTGTTTTAGAATATGTAAAACCCCTTTCATGGATGCTGAGTTTGCTTCTTGGACCAATGTGTTCCGGCTTTTGTGTAAGGTTATCCCAAAACAGCTCACCAAAACAAAGCAGGTAACTTTTGATGAAATAGTTCCTATCCCGAAAATTGTTAGTTGTATGAGAGAATAGCGTTCATCTAATCGATGGGAAGCAAATCCTACTTTTTCACCCGATGGAATGAATACAGTCTGTCATCGAGACAGTCAATCCTCGCTACTATGGGGTTTACCTGCTTCTGTTCATCCCACACTTATATACCATACAAAACATATAACAACGGTATTTGCCATGCGCTTGTTTCATTCAATGCGCCTTATGGTGCTCTAAGTTGAATGATCAGATCTGTTGGAAGGTGGGGACGGCAAGCAAACTTCTGTAATACCTGTGGGCTTTGCCTGACTTATTTGCGATTCACAATTTGTTTTGGCACCATGACTTCGTACGATCAAGTTATTCCGTAAAACGGAATCGTGATTCATAGTCCAACTGATTCTACTATGTGATTATCGAACCGTTCGTGTTCATTTGCTGGACGAACTGTGAGGTTTTCCTTCCACAAGCAAACACTAAACTTTCGCGATCCTGTCCCTCGCTCCTATTTAGTGTCTGCCACAACCAATGGAGTCCAGTTTGGCGCTACCGCCTGCGAATAACCCAAAGCTATTATCTTCAGTCACAGAGAATGCCGAACAGAATGGATTGACTGATAACAAAACCTTGGAGTTCGAGGATCGCACTGAGGAGCCTCGGTTTCCTCCGAAAATCCAACTTGGTCGACACGTGATCACCACATGGTATTCGGCTCCATACCCGTCCGAATACGCTAGGTAAGTCAGATCGTTTTTCCTCCCATTTCGCATCGATAGAAAAGAACACTTCATCCATTCATTGAAACTTCATCTTCCTGCATAATTTCCGGTTCATTTGGTAACCAACACACCACGGAATCAGCAAAAATAGTTTCGCTCTCATAGATTATCGGTGGCTCACGTTCGTCGGTTCATCCGGAGTTTGAACCTGTATCCTTCACATGGAGGGCTTGTGTTTACCCACTGCACCAACTGGCTCACTACCGTTTATTCCTGCTCGTATTTGTAAAATGATTTAGTTAGAATCCAACTCAACCATATTCTACTCGGGTTTGATTCCTTTTTATCCGTTTGAGACATGTGCTTCATATTTCATCTCTATGATATGCTGTAGCCTCAATGAAAATAAACGCATTTTTCTGGATTACCCGTAACAAGTAAGGCCACAGCCTGTTTAAAGTTTTGAACAATTTACGCGACTTGGTAGCCTAATATCAGTCAATTACTAATTTCTTATCCGAATGATAAGGAATGTCGTGAAAAGGTTTCGTGCTTTGATGAAAAATAGCATTCACCGTACAAAGATCTATGATCGGAGTTCTCAGTAACTTTCCAATATTCAATAAGAGGAACATCGTGCCGATCAACTGCAACACATTAAACCGATTGAATCCCACCAATTGCTTACTTGTTTGCACACCTGCACCAAAATTCCTAATCGATGGATGCTCTTTGAAAGTTTGACCTTCTTAAACGTACTGAATCTATTCCTTTTTCACTGTAAAAGTTCGTTTAAACGCATAGAAAGCTTTCGCAATCAGGTTGAAAATTAATATTTAAGTAGGAAGATATTTATTAGCATGTCCAGCTGTCCGTATTGCTTCACTCGCCTGTTGTTTGCAACTGTTAAAGATTGCTCCTCACAAAATTTTGAAAACATCAGCGCAACAGGCGCAGTTTTACTTTTATCGAATCTGGGAAAAAATATTCAGATGTATGAAGCTATATTGTTGAACTTCAAGTGATATTTTCTCAACAAAACTTGAAGATTTTCGATTGTGTTGCCTCTCATTTGAGTGAAAAATTGTCATGTGACTCATCTTAGGTTGACAAATTTGTCAAAACGTTAGACGTGTTTTTACCTTAGGGCTGTCCCGGAAAGCCTCGTTTTTTCACCTAGGCAATGAGTACTAAAGTACAACCAGTAGGCTATTAAATGCTCGCAAATGGTTGCTAGATGATACCCGATGGCCAGATAAACGGCACGAAAATCTGTATAACTGTTATTTCGAGTGAAGAAGGAGTTATCACTTCGCCGTACTGTATCCCCAATCTCACCATAGATTTGTCCATAAGTCCGATTTCTCCTCGATTAGAAACAATACACCCGGAGAGTGAAATTATACGAGTTACTTTTCATTTTGCAACTTAGTTTAAGAGAGAGAGGAGTGGAATAGAATTTCAACAGAATTAGCAATGATTCATTGTTCCAGCTGCTATAAACTTCGGACACCATGATCAACATCAATTTTTTTGTACAAAACGAGCTATTCTTTCTCATTGTTTTCAGACTCAGCCTGCTGTATATCTGTGAATTCTGCTTGAAGTATTCGAAAACCCGGAAGGTGTACATGCGGCACATTGTGAGTAAAGTTTTTCTCTGCCTGTATCAACCCCCCCTCATTGATTCAATATACATGTTCGCATTGACAACTCCATGGTGTTACTTCGCGGGGATTGTGTATATGAACTGTATGACGTTCCCAATCGGTTCGAAAATAATCATCACTCACAAAAACAAGCAATCAGTTTGTATTCACGTATCTTACGCAACATTCAGCCGTGCCACTGGTTGCTTTTTTTTAGAGAATTGATTGTTCATATATATATCGTGGTACAAGAATCGCGAAATCGGTTGTGTGCTTCCAGGGAAATTTTGTTGAATCATTCATAGACTACTGATTGTGATATACTACATAGAGACACTTAAGTCACGTTTGTTGCACTTAGTAGCAACTAACCCACCTACAAAAAATCGATTTTTAATATCGATCTATCATTCGACTAGTTCTGAAAGAGCTGTCTAGACAAATCTACCGGGTGTTGCAAGTGAAGTTATTGTGACGAAAATATACTTTCGGGGTACAAGTACGTGAATGCAATGACCAAAGATTACCGGATACACGTGGCTGACGAGAGAGGGATTGTCATGCGTTGGTTTTCTTATTGTGTTCGTCCGTCGGAAAGCCCTGTGAAACAAAGCCGACTATGCAAGTCCCGGTCATTGTAATATTCACTCTACTTAACTTCGGCTCACACTGACCGATCGGCTTATTTAGGATTATGAAAGTTCATAGGGGGTTTGGTGCACCAGACAACTCCAGAGCTCATCTCTGGCCTTCACACGACTAAGTACTGTCTGGAAAGCAGTCGGGTGTGTTGATTAGTGGTAACCGGTCGCCCCATGGGGGCTCATTCTTCCTTCACGGCTTCCGGCTTTTTGTGCGAATTTCAGTAGTGGATTTCGTCTGTCCACTCATGAGTAGCTTCCCTTTCATGCCGCCCGCTTAATCGCAATGTTTCGTGTTGGTGAACCAGTTCGCCTAAGGTAATAGGCTGAAAACCCTTATTTCAAACCAACCAGGATGAGGCACACGAACCATACTCATCCATACCTTAGTTGTGGCAGTTGTCACTGCCTTGATTGGGTATCGAGATGTATTTGTCACTTTGGACGTTTGACTACGTTCAAGAGGCGCACGATCAGATGACCTGACCACGAGCCCCCAATAGATTGCTGTTTTCGCACACTGCCCCGCTGCCTTGCTGGTCAGGATTTGGTTAGCCGAGTGCTCCGGTTGTGAATTCAACTGCCTTGAGCTGGGCAGCCTGGCAGTATCCCACCCACATGCAAATTATGGAACATTTTTCTCGATTAACGTCAACTAGGTTTAACCCGCCTTTCGAGTGTTGGGTGAGGGTGTAAATACCACTGCCTATCTCTGTTTTGTGGAGCCACGGATGAGAGTTGGATAAATGATGCTGATGACCAGCTAGAGGAAGTATACTGTTAAGAGACACGATACTTTATCTACCACTGCAGAGGTGCATATCCTGCCGTATATTACTTACCACTCCATCGCCATTTTTTCACACAAGTCCTCTAGATATCTGGACATTATCATCCTCATTCTGTAAAAATCGAAGAGTAATGGGCTGTGCGTCAAGTATGACTGATGGTAAAAAAGGAGCAAACTCAATATTCATCAGTGCTGTAAAACAGGAGTGAGGTGATCGTTCATTTAGTTTGTTCTGTGCTTGCAAAGACAAAATATTTATTGGTAGATAAATAGATTACCACTTAATAATCCAACAGAGTTACTCGTATTACTTTGCCGTTCCTCTCTCTCTTGCTGTGTACAGGAAAAATGTCCGTTCCGATTCCCACCCGGCAACGAGATCTACCGATGTGGCAATGTCTCGGTCTTCGAGGTGGACGGTTACACTTCTCGACTGTATTGTCAACAATTGTGCCTGCTGGCCAAGCTGTTCTTAGATCATAAAACACTCTACTACGATGTGGAACCTTTTCTGTTTTACGTAGCCGCACTACGCGAGGATGATTGTTTTCATCTTGTCGGATATTTCTCCAAAGAGAAACAATCAGCCCAGAAGTACAATCTAAGCTGTATTGCTGTACTGCCCCCGTATCAGAAACTGGCTTACGGTCGGTTCTTGATCGATTTCAGTAAGTCCCCCTTCACCTATTTTGATCCCGTCATCCTCCGCAGTACGAGGATATATTTTTATTGCACACACTTGTGTGGATATATATAAGCCAACGTGTCACGAGAGTCTGTTGCTCGGAAATCCAGCCGTGTAGTCCCCCGTTAGCGCAGTATTCTTATGACGTTGGACCTAGGACGATAGTGAATCAGTTTGCCACCAAAGTTGTGGCCGGAAGGAGGCCTTCGAGGTAAGATTTTTACCCACCTGTGCATTCGAGTGGTAATAACTTGGATCCGTTGGGTTTGTGCGAAATTTCGATCTCAGGAACCGATTAACTAAATCTGATGGATTAATGAATAAAAAGTGCTTTCTGTGATAGGTAGCAGGAGTGCTGTCTACATCAGGTTCGTCTTAATTCGGTCGCGCTGGGTTTTCACGATTGAAAATTGTCGGGCATATCGCGGCACGAAGATTGTGAATGCAAATTGCACAGATTTTATCAACGGCCGTGACTAGCAAGCTAGTCACAAATATGCCAGCTCACGACAGGGTGAACGCGCAGTGGATAAAAATTCACATGCACTGAAAAAATGAAATAGCAACGCAAAGACTGGATCTGCAACAAAACGCTTCTACTTTCTGATAAAGTAAGATAAGCGCTACTTCGAAGGTCCCCCGAATTACTTCGCTCCACTAAGACCAATCGGAGAAGGTATGGCTCAGAATAACAAAAAAATGGAAGCCGCTGCAAACGGCGGAGACTACCGAAAGCTCTTCTACATCTAACATGCTACCTGGAGTAAGAAATCTCCGATGTATGCCTAACTGTCACCTGAAGAGTAATCTTAAACAAGAAAGTGTATACCGATTACTGAATTGCACCACTAGGCCACCGGGATTACCCAGTGGCAGAAGAGTAAAACTGAACGACACAGTCCTCAGGTAGGGAGGAAATCACCTTGGTGGTTAATAAACTGAAAAGCATGGCGGCTCCAGAGGAAGACGGTAATCCAGCTGAGGTATTTAAATCCAGCATACCATTCTTCCTCACTATCTAGTGAGATCTAGGAAACGAAGGCTTCCCTTAAATGTTATACTATCTCTATTCTCCTGTTTATTCCTCCGTTTTTCCCGCTCTATAATACCGAATTTATATCTGTTTTAGTTTAGTTTTGTTTATGTCCACCATGCAAATTAATAAACTAATGAGAAATCACCCTTCGGGTACATAAAGCGGTTTAAGTCACTGTCACTGGTGTACTTTCGGCTGTAGAGCCTCAGGTTCAAACCCAGCCACCTCCACCGAACGTTAACAGTATGCAACTTCTCTGTCGCTTGACTGAATACCGTACGTATATCAGCGAGGCTTTACGTGGTGCACCGTTTGAAGCCCAGGGTTTAGTTTACCGCTTCCCACCAATAAACAGTGGGTCCTCCGTCCATTGTTCGTCACACAATAGTATGCACTAAAAAGAAGAAATTATGAAGGTGTATCGCGTTTGAAATTTAACACAATGAAAACTTTCATTAACTGTTTATCTTTTTACAAAGGAGTCCATGATCGACTGTTTCCCCTTTTGATTGTCAGCGATTTGCAACTGGTTTCTTTTCCATTTATTTTTTTATTATTTCCAACGTAAACTGTACTCCGGCTTCCAGTGCAAATTCTCCCAATAGTTTTGCGGTTTGACTAGCACTCCTCTTCGGGGCCTATTCCCCACCCAATCATTGTTTCTTCGTTATCGTCTCCTTCGAAGACCAACGTTTCCGCATCTTCCACACGTGTTTTTCATCTTATCCTTATTTAGGGAAAAATAGCAGTTAACNNNCTGCGAACGGTTCTGATATCCATCCATTTAAAAGCAACGTGTTCAGAGAATGTTTATTGTTGGAATCGTGTTGAAAGAAATGAAAAAAAACCGGTCTCATTCACATGCATACATCCTAATACTATTAACTTTATCCCCAAGACTCAGACACCGTCTCCTATGGATCCGCATTTGTTTTCGGAAAACATCTGGCTAGTCTGCAGTATCCATACCTTTCACAACAGGGGCAGCTGCGATTTGACTGCAACATACGACCGACTGGTGTTTTCTGTCGTTCTGGTGGTTTACGACCCCATAGGCGTGTTCGCTTGACAGAAGGTAGGGGATTCAGGGTTATAGAGCCCTTCTATCACTGAGCAATAAGTCTTCGTGGCTGTGGGATACACCCCGTCTTGCTCATCACACGAAATGTATCTAATGAAATAGGTTATCCTACTCACTCGTTTTCGTCGGTACTTTAATGCCATACTCATTAAGATTGTATTGTACCTCGTCTCATTATTTGTAATCGATAAGTCTTTATTTGTGTAAAGGCTATTTTCATCATATAAAAAGTGAACAAGATTATTTCAGTGGTCATTGTGTTCCTAACATGTGTCCGTATTCCCCCCCCCCCCATTGAAATGCAACTGGGGGGGGGGGGGGGGAAGCTGTAGCTATCTGTCTGTAAAATAAGATTAAATGAGTTATTGTAGTGGTGCTAGTAGTAGTCCTACAAACCTTAGGACACTAAAAATGCATGCCTAATGAAACTGAAATGTTGTGCGTAAGAAAACACCCACTTGGATATTCGGCCATGAATAGTTAGGTATTCCCATCAAATAAGCCGTTAAAAACAATCTACTATGCTATCTGTGGACGTGGTAGATTGTTAATTGACAATCGGTCAGTGCTTCGCATATCAGCATAATGACTTGCGTGAGTCTCGTCTGACACCTAAATAATATGCTCATCACCGTCTACCTTTCTCATTTGATTAGATAAGGGCAAGAAACGTATCGGATGGTTTTTAATATACTTTCAGGGTTGCGTGGCATAAAGCTATCCATAAGTGAGGTCGGTTGTCGAGGTGACAGTAAAACTTAAGCAAAACATCGCTTTTAGTTAGTTCAGTTGTGTAGGTGCGTGTTTGTAAATTTGATTCTCAGCTGTCTCAAACGAATAACCCTAAATTAGTCACATCCATAACTGTTTGTACTCCCAGATCTTTGCTATACTTGTACCGAGTTTTTTATCCAGTCTCTATCCCTCTCTCTCATCCATCCTAACTTCCAATGTGCACATGTTTTCCCAGGTTTCCTTCTCTCTCGCATCGAAGGTCAACCGGGTTCGCCGGAGAAGCCACTGTCCGAGTTGGGCCGTCTTTCATACGAATCCTACTGGCGCTCCAAGGTACTTCCATACATTCTCCTCTCGTTGTCAGATAAGCCGACCACGGATGTAACCGGCACGAGCGTATTGACCAACGGTGGACCTGGTAGAGATGCAGATCGGCTCGATTTTACCGAATGTGTAGTAACTATTCATCAAATCACCGCCGCCACAGGAATCGATCCACATGATGTGGCTGCTACCATACAACAGTTAGCCACTTCTGTCGAACTGGGAACTGACGGAAGGTAAGTTATGTGAATTGTTCAGTCATGGATGTATTATAAGATCGGTTGTCATATACCCATCAGCAAATCGGAGTTGTTTATCTTTCTTGCAGAGATTTGGCTGGTGTAACCATAGATCATCGCTAATTGGTTAGATCTTCCGTACTGGGATAAACCACTGGCAGGTTACTTTGGATAGATATTATCACTTTACCGTTTTGTAACATTGTACATAATTGACGTAATCAGTGTTGATTTTCGTAATGTCATCTAAAATGGTCCAGCTGTCACTGCTGCTGCAACCTCTCCGTTTCGGTTAGATGCTGACGTTAGGTGAAATGATGCTTTGAGGGAAATTTCAACTTAATTTTGCAACTGCCTCATCGCTGATATTCAACCAGTTCTGTTTGGCTTTCTTACCGTTTCACAACACTCGCGAGTGTTTCCTCAGCAACGTGTTAAAAACCAAACCAATGATGAAGAGAATGTATGTATCTATTTATTTCACACGCACTTAAATCCCGACTGTGTGCCAGACAAACCACGGTACAATAATCTTTATAAAAAATGAAAAAGGTCCATGATTTGCTCGAGGGCACGTTACTGTTATACTGTCCAGGCCAAAAACAGGTGAATTTCTTAGGGAGCTCACAATCGGAGACTTCGGCTAACCAATGCCTGACCCGAAAGTCAGTGGAGCGGTGTGTGAAAACTACAGTCTGGCCCGTGTCCAGCTCATCGGATCATACGCCCTTCGGACGGGGTCGAACGTCCAAGGTGGCCAATACACCGATACCCAATCGAGCTGATGACCACTACCAAGACCAGGAAGGTGTGTGCGTGGTTCGTACGCCTCTTCTTGATTAATTTGGAATCAGGATTTTTAGCCAACTCCACTAGGTAAACTGCTAGTGGTTCACCAATCCGGGTATTGGCTTTTTATCCTCCCACTTTGGTGACAGAACATCTCCGCCACGAGAAGGCATTGCATAGGACTTCATCAGCAGAAGCTATTTGAGACGCTTGATTATATGGGAGCATTTCGCGAGGTGCAAGAGAAGGGCAACTAACCGCAATCCGATACGCCCACTCCCGACCATACTGAGGGCGATAAAAGGAAAGAAAGCTTACCGCTGCTAAAACGTTGTCCAACAGAAGCAGAGCACCGCGGCTACATTATTGAGGTTGTTCATTTTCTGGCACTCGTGTATCTTCTCAATTTATTTGCAACCATGGTCCTTATGAGTTCTCTGTTTTCACTCTGACAGTGATCTGAACATTCTAATCTTCCTTTTACTTCTTCAATAAAATGGGCAGTTATAAGAAACAAACATAACCGATGCACGAAATCGCAATATTAATAGTTGTCAAAACTGAACTGAACTAAACTGGTTATTGGAACAATATGTCTGTGGTTTGAAAAGTGGCGATTGTCAGGAGATGCGAGTTCATTTCTCCTGTGTATGATACAGTTCATTGAGACTGAGACAACCATCAATTGTTTTTTTCGGTGTTGCTGTACCCCGTAACCATTCGTGTCCCGTTTTTTTGGTTAGTCACACTCAAATACTTTTTTCCGACTGGCTGAAATTATTAACTTGGATCAGAGAGTATCGTTCATTGTGTTTAGTACACTTGAACGGACGGTAGCTCTGTTCTTTGCTTCCCACCAATCCACTTTCACATGAGCTTACAAACATCCACATTTACCGTGGTGGTCGTGGTGGTGATGACACTCCACTATCCCATCATTTGAGTGCGAGTTCACGCAAACACTCGCCCAGAATACAGATAAGTAGGTGTATAGATAGATAGATAGATAGACAGACAGATAGATACTGATTGTGTCTGTGCACTTATTCACATGTCCCTGTATTCACCTGAACCATCATTTTTGGTTAGTTGCCCGCGCATGGGTATTTGCTAGCTCCTGTTTATCTACCACCCAGTACTCAGTGTGCAGGAATCTCAACGCAGATAGTTGACAATAGGATGATAGATAGATAGACAGACTGACAATCGTTGGTATACTATTCGATTTTCGATCGGACTGGTTGGGGTGAGATGAGCGCGGGCTGTGTTAGAGATCATTTCCAGTTCGATGTGCCGGACATTTAACTGCAATCCTGTTATTTTCCTCTCTCGTCCAACGGTGGGTGGATGACGCGAGGTAGATGGATAGACGTGTATTTAGGAAAGAGACATTTAGTGTAGGTGTGTGCGGAAACATGAGCATGCCTGTTCCTAACGATGATGATGATTTGTTCATTTTCCGTTCCAAAACTTCCACCCCCTCCCAAGAAAACGATCTGCTTTCATCGTCCTCATCATACTACCTGTCTGTCTATCTTATATTCGGTCTATCCTTTTATTCATTCATCTATCTGTCGATCGATGCACGCACACGTATGTTTGTGTGTGTGTGTGTGTGTCTGTTTTCACACAACCCCTTGCAGCGTGTTGCTCACAGACACGCCCACGAATTACCAAATTTCGATTCCTCCAATTCTCGTCCTTTCACACAGACCACTTATTTGTTTTGACAAAACACAATTGTTGAAATTGAAGGCCAAGTACGATTCACGCGCCACACAATGGATCCCGGTCGACGAGGAATGCTTACGCTGGTCCCCTCTGATTCATCCCCATGTGAGTCATTGAATTTTGTTCCGCTTCTCAGTTTTTCAGTTTGTCCCGTTTTGTTCCCCCTCCTCTGATTCTCTCTCTCTCTCTCTCTCCCACACACACACACACACACACGTATATATATATATATATATATATATATATATGTATATATATATTTACCTGTCGCACATACCATCATTGAACATGTACATCGTACTATCTCCCTGCTCTGTGTGTGTGTGTGTGCCCGTGACAGCCTAGGGAAGCGGATCTATCATGGAAACCACCAATTCCCCTACCTACCTTG